GTGAGTGTGTGTGTGCGCGTGAGAGTGAGTGTGTGTGTGCGCGTGAGAGTGAGTGTGTGTGCGCGTGAGAGCGAGTGTGTGTGCGTGTGAGAGTGACTAGAAGTGTATATAGACAAAGGAACATGTAAAAAAAGTACAACAGACAACAATAGCAGCGGTCTTTCAGTAACGTGTCTGTTCTGATCAGAGCGAGCTGGAGTCGACCAAAGCATCTGCGCTGAACGCCTCGAGGGCCGACGGCACGTCAGGAGCCAGAGCCGGCAGTCTGTCGATGGACGACACGGAGATGAGGAAGCTCATGGAGGAGAGCAGGAGACTGCAGACGCAAGTGGGGAAGCTGCTCGACGAGAACCGCCAGCTCAAGGTACTGGAGAACGTCTGCGCCTGCACTAACTCGTGTCTGTAGGGCCTCTCTGTGCGTCAGACGCTCCTGATTCAGCGCTAACAAACCGTCAGTCTTCCTGAGATTTAATTAGTATTTCAGTCATTTAACACACTCGCAGGTTCTCTGATGTTGGTTATTATATAACTTAAACACATTTATCATTTATTTAACAAAATATTTTCTTTTTCTTTTTTTTTTTTTTTGAATAAGTGTTTTATTTTGTTTTAGGAGCCCAATCAGACTGATTCATAATAATTATTATTTTAACTTATTAAAAAAAAAAGGTTTTTTATTCATGCCAAACAACTTTTTTTTATCGGCAAGTAAAGAATGACAAAAAAGACCAATTAAAAAAATATATTTATATTAATTGGACTTTTTAACGGTTTTGTTTTCTTTATGCCCATCAACGACAAAACATAGGAATTATAGTCCGGATAAATATGGACCGTAACAGATTCTTACTCAGAAATTTGCATTTATGTATATTAAATTAATAAATATAATAGAGAATTTGAGTTGAGATAGAAAAAAACAATAATATTAAAAGTGTTCATGTAGTTTTTTCTAAGAGATACATGGCTATTTTACCTCTAATTATAAAAATGAAGACTACAATATAGGCTATTACTGAAGTAAATTACAGGTGTACTGTATTTCATCATCAGTATTTTTACACTACAAGTTATGATATTTATGTCTTAAATTCTTCACTTTCAAACCCTCAAGCTTTATACATTGCCATTTTATAAATTATAATCAGCAGAAACCGGAGTTTGAGCAGACATCAGCACACACTGGAAGTGTTGCACAGCAGGGCTCTGAGCACTAGGTGGCGTAACAAGCTCAGAGATAGCTACAGCCAGACTGCGGATCGCTGATGATGATTGTGTTCACCTGTGTGTGTCGCTCTTCATCAGGATGAAGGGCTGAGGATGAGGAAGGCCAATCAGTTCGACGGCTCCGTCTCCAAGTCTTCGGCGGCGATGCTGAGCAAAGATCCCGCCTCCAGATCGCTGCCGTCGCTGCTGGTGGTCATCGCCGCCATCTTCATCGGGTTCTTCCTCGGGAAGTTTGTCTTGTAGAGGTTGTGGTGGGCCTGACGGGCGAAGAGTGTGCTCTTGTTGATAAGCGTGGCGTCTGCGCAGACGAGCCCCACGACAGAGGAAGTAAACGTGTCTGTGTACAGGATCATTCATACGGGCCTTGTCTTTCTCACACACACACACACACACTCACTCATATATACTCACTCACTCACTCACTCACTCATATACACACACACACACACACTCACTCATATATATACACACACACTCACTCATATATACACACACACTCACATACACACACTCACTCATATACACACGCACGCACGCAAACACACACACACACTCACTCACTCACTCACTCACTCACTCACTCACTCACTCTCTCACACGCACACACACACTCATACACACACACACACACACAC